CGTGATTTCGTTCACTTTACTGCGATAATTATAATCTGTTTTACTCAAAAAAAAATTAGTCTGTTCTTCTCCATCCTCAATATTATGTGTAGGTCAGGTGTATACTAAATTTCATGATAATTGGTTGAACTGTTAAAATTACAAGAAGTAATAAACAAACTTATTTTCACATTTATACTATTAAGCAAGGATTAATTGTTATTAAAAAAAAAAAACTTTAAATCCTCAATATAAGGCAGAATTTCGTAAATTCTTATTGTTTTCTACTAGCGGCCCGTCCCGGCGTCGCACGGGTGAACATTTTTACATTTTAAAAAGTGGCTATTAAGGCTGCACACTCGACAGAAGCTTAAAAATGGAGTAACTACTTTCATTTTCCAAACATTTTCCTTCACTGCTCTGCTCCTATTGATCTTATCGTGATGAAAAGTATACTATAACCTGCCCAGGAGTATGAAAAATAATTGTACCAAGTTTCGATAAAATCCGTCGAGTAGTTTTTGTTTCTATAAAGAACATACAGACAGACAGACAAAAATTTTACTGATTGCACTTTTGATATCAGTATCGATTACTAATCACCCCCTGATAGTTATTTTGGAAATATATTTCATATACAGAATTGACCTCTCTACAGATTTATTAGATAGATTTATAGATGATAGAAAATAATTTTAAAGATTTCATTCGTTATAATTATTTACAGTTATATCAGCTAGATCCCTATTAGATGTCGTCAAATTACTGTATCCATGTTTTAGTATCAGCAGTTCGGCCATTTGACCTAGTTTTACCGCGTTATAGCAAGAATATTAAATATAAATTCGTTTTCATTAATTGTCAAGATGGCATAATAGGCTCTACTATTGCCACTTTATTTTTAATATATGTATATGCTAATTGTAAAATACCAATAAGTCAAAATGGCACAATGACAAAAGGTTTTTTTACACACACACGTACATACGCACACACATTTCTTTATTCCTGTAATGGAATAGCGCATAAATAAAAAAAGAGAACGGTAGATAGTTCGATTGTTCGGCTATGCCGGGAGGATTAATGGTAGCTAAATGTGTAAGCAGATCTTGAACCAAATAGGGAATATGTAGGTATATATCAAACTCACAAATATGTGACATACCGTAGTGAATGTATTATTTTTATTATATATACTTTAAATATTATATACAACAGTGTATTGATGATAATTTATCAATATTTTTTCATAAGTAATAACATTTATTTAATTCAGAATGACAAACAAACTTGGTGGACAGAGGTAACCGTTACCTATATACGATATATAACTTGGAGCTCATAGCTTAAAATACACTTTAAGGTACAACGTGCCATAAACCCACAAAAGCATAGCTCGGAAGTAGAAACACGATTGGGGCAGAGCTGTTTATGCAAATAGCTGTTGTACAGTCGTCCTCTAGTTTGGTTTATCTAATCATTTAAAAAATAGAACGATTTTGAATTTATCTGTCTATGTTCTATTGCAAGAGATTGCTCTAGCAACAAGTTCGCCTTTTGTACCTTTTTATATCTATAATGTATCTGTACTTTATTCCACTGTACTCCACATTGTCATTTGGTGTAATGAAATTATAAAATCCGGAATATCTTTACAGTAATTGAAGTTCGCCACTTTTTTTTGTGTCACTTCAACACGTCATAAAACTATGGCATTTACCGGCAGCTTTCGCTGCCAGGCCACAAAATGTTAGAATAATATCCGACCGCCCATTAAAATATTTACATCTTTACGAACGTTTAGGAAAAATGTAAAAGAACTGCTACTAGAAAAACAGAAATCGTATTGCCCTGGGTGACAGAGTCTTTCTCCCTTTATATAGTGCATTTGTTTTTATCTCCGTTGTAGGGATCGCTATTTGGCGATGGGGCTGCTCGTTGTTGCCTCTTTAACTTGCTTTAATATAACTGGGTTTGTGTAATTTAAGTATTCATTTTACTCATGTACATGTTGTAATCTGTGTCGTCCTTTAGGGGAACGTTTTCATTAATTTATCAAAGAATGATATGTAATATCGCTTGAGTGCTTGAAACTGATAGAAATAGACTTCTGACTATCCTTCTTCTAATGGTATTTGTCATTTATTTATTAATTAGAATAACATATTAAATAATAGTGAATGTAATAAACACATATAATGTATTTTATCTATATATTTTTTTTATTTTTTCTAAGGACTTCCGCGGCTGGCTTTTGGCCACAACAGAATATCAGTGTTTTGCTCTTTTGATGGCAAAGCAATAAGCTGAGTTGTGACCATTTTGTGTTACTGTGGCACACGCATGAAAGGAAAAATTGTTATTCTATGACTTTTTTTAATTTTTTTTGTATATGTATTCTTTTATCTTTTTTTACTGTGCATGTCTATTTATGTCTGTTGTTATTTGTGTGTTATAAGTAATGCAAATAAATTACCTATCTATCTGTATTTAGATTGAATTTTTTAATGGTCAAATTATATTTTTATTGTGGTGCCACGAAGAATTAAATAAATTAATTAAAATAATGAAATTTTATAAAGACTGATTAACAGATAGAATAACTAACTTTTTATTTTAATTTCTGTGACTTTGCTATAGATAGTATTAATATAAATATTGAAGAAACTTTGGTCACGTACAGATTTGTCCGCGCGGAACGACATCGATTTGGTGCAGAAATTATACAGCAGCGACAAATCATGAATTGCAGCTTTATTTATAACTAGTCGTTTCCTAAGAATTTGCTCACGTGCATTATTATATAAACTATACTATGTGTTACATTAGGATAAATCTACCCGTGTACCACATTTCTTTCAAATCTGTTCAGCCGATTAAGCGTGTAAGAATTGTTAATAATACAGACTACCTTTGTTAGCAATATACTCTGTCAAGCCGATTTCCAGGTGGTCTCCCCTGGAAACCATCGTGCTGAATTTCAGACGTATTAATCACGATGAGCTAACTGACCTGCCTTTTTATTCTCAATTACAATCCCTCACAGGTGTTCCGCCAGCGTACACCGTTAGCGCAGGAGAGGTTACCATTCCATTATCATCCATTAATAAAAGAAAATATATATGTACGAACATGCAAACAACATTACAAACTTTCACATTTATTATATTAGTATATTTTTTTAATACTACAAAGGTGGTAAACAAGCATACAACCCGTCTGATGGTAAACGGTCGCTGTAGCCTATGGACGTCTGCAACATCATCACAAGCGCATTGCTGACCGTGATGAAATCTATATATACAGTATGGGGTTCTTTAAAAACCCTTTTTGAAGAACCCCATACTGTAGTCTAGGGAAAACCTTGTCAGGGAGCTCATTCCACAGCATAAGCGTTCATAGGAGAAAATTTCTCTGGAATCGCACTGTACTTGACCATTTAGGTTTAAGTGTGTGATGATGGTGTGATTAGAAGGTTTTGTCATTTTTAGGGAAATATAGAACAAAAAATCACTTTTAGAATTAATTTAGAAAATAAAACATTTATTTTAGAAAAAAGCTTTTGCTTAGAATTTTTAATGCATTTGTAAGAATGTTTATTTATTATCTAGTAACTACACAAATATAGATGTAAGAAAAAGCCTATATTAAAAGCCAGTTTCAAGCCCCCTTGGGTCCCCCACGTTATACCATAAGAACCGTTCTTTATGGATATCCGAATGACGGAAGACTTTGGAAAATAATAGAATCTTTAAATGCGGTACATATTCTCAAACCGTCAGTAAATTAACTCGTAAGTATATTACGCAACATCTTCATCCATTCTAAACCAATTTTATCAATTCTTTTTGTAATCGATGGGGTTTAGTCCTGTGTTATTTCAGTATTGTAAAAATTGAAGTCAGTTTTTATGTCTTTCTTATAAAATACATTCATAGTATATACTTATTTAAAATAGGTATGATTATAAAACTGTTAATAATATTTTAACTACTAAAGTTAATATTTCCAGGACTAAAGAGGCTTTCTATGAAATTAACTAAATTTAAATTCATATTTAGTTATTTTCATGGAAAACCTCTATAGTCCTGGACATATTAACTTTTCATGAATAATGCGATAAATAATTCTGCTAGTTATTATAAACTTCGGTTTAGGCTTTTGGTCAAAATCTACTAATAAGCAAATATTTGGCGAATAATTTATATTAGGGATATTTTAATTTTATATTATAAGTTTCTTCCTTATTTTAGGAGTAATTTATAAAATAATTTATTAATTGCATAAAATCTGATATTTTATTTAAGCTACTATTTTCTAATTACAATAAACAGTTTTTTTTACAATCGACTAAAACTTTTATTCTGAATACAAGTGCTACTCATCAATTGACTACAATATTATTGGAATTAACACTAATTCAGGCATAACATCTATTTGTTCCATCGTTTTTATACATTTTATTTTATTATGATATTTTTACTAATTTATATTTTCCATTACAGACTACCATCGTTCACATTTTGAACTGTGCATCCATTCATCATAAAGATGGATTGCAACGAGTGACTCTGCAGTGGTAATAAATTCATAGTTGTAATATCTAAACAAAAATTAATTCGATTTTGAGTCAGTATAAATTGGTTAACATATAGATTTACACGAAATAATCTACAATAAATATATTGTTAAATTATTATTATTTATATAGAGTAAAGCACAAGAATTTAATTTAATAAGAACCTATTATTATTTGAATATTATCTGCATGTTCAGTATATTACATTAAATTACATAAAAATCTAAATGAAATAATTACGGATATATTATGTAACACATGAGTAAAATTGTTGATATTTTTATAAATTTTTAAAGAGCATTAAGTATTTTTTTGTATGTTATTTGATGGAAGACGAAATATTTTACAATTAGAACAATGAAATTTCAAGTTTCATTTTAAGTAATCTTTTAAAAGTATCTTATTAAACAGATGATAAAAAAAAATGTAAGAAAAAACTTACTTGCAATGAACACAGCACTTATTATAAACAAAATCATTGTTGATTCTTACTCCTATTATATTCAAATAAGTGTCGTAACTTTTTCCGTTTTCTCTTTAATCAGATTTCTTTAATAAGTTAATAAAACAGGTCCGGCAACTAAACATATTTTATAATAATAAAATTTATATAATACATTTTATTTGAAAGTTTTCGGTAATATTTCGTTGTTGATAAATGCGTTATCAGTAAAAGTAAGACAATGGTAACGCGGTCGTCCCGGTCTGAATCGCGCGCCAAACTGAAGTGGATTGGAAGTCCTCCCGAGGGCATCTTTCCATGATATCATACGCGATTTCAAGTTACAAGTTGGCGTTCATTGAATACGGACTGGTACCTCGAACTGAAAATCCGTATTAGAGGGGCTCCAATTCCGAGAAACAATACCTCTGCGATAAATCGCAAGTACTCAAAACTAATTGAAACGATCAAAAGTTTACCACAAATTAGTTTCATGGTTTTGATAAATTGCAAATTATTATTTGTCGCTAGTTAATGCCTTTGTAAATTAATTTTATGTTGAGATAAAATTATTAAATTAGTTAAACTAAAAGTGCAAACTTTTATCGGATAATACTTTCAAAAGCTCTATTCACCGTAGCATCCTTTCATTCTTGTGTGTTCTTACTTGATTTTTCTGATACGATTACGGTTCACCACCACATTGGTTTGATATTTTAATAAATAAATGTTTTTTCACGTTTGAAATTGCTTTTTTTTTTAAACAGAACAATCTTAAATTATTTTGTATATAGCAATTTAGAACTGATTTTGATAGCTTTTTCTGCATTTTTTGTGTAGAGTTTTCTTCTGTATTAACCTATTAATTTTGATACAGTTAAAATTGGTTTTATGAATAGATGTTACTAGCTACATAGATTTCTCCGAGAATTTTTAAACCGATTTGTATGGTTATTTTTTGACTAAAAAGATTTTTTATTTTCTTTCTTTTATTTTTTTATTTCAGGCATGTTCAGATAATGTTCTTAAACTTAGAGCTGATTATTCTAGCTAAATGAAAGCAAGTACATATTTTATCGGTGTTTCCACAGAAATAAAAGAACCTATGTAAACTAATAAAACGCTCATAATCGGTATTACGTACCAACGTAAACAAAACACTCCTAACCGATAAGCACCTAAATATATAATAATTCAATATTATGTGTTATTACACAAATTTATCATCAGCATATATATACACACACTACACACACACACATATCGAATGCCACTGGTATCGAATCTAAAATAATTCTTATCTTGTACTGATAATTATAAACACAACAAAAAATAATTACCCAAAAAGGTGTAGCAGTTTAAAAGTAATGCGCTTGCATACATTCGATAATTATTTTTTAGATAGATGATAGTTTGTAAATATGTGTAGATATTCATATAATTGTTATTAAATGGTAATTGTTATTAATGGGATTTCATTAATTAATTAAATAAATTTGTATTTTTTTGAGACTACATACAGTACATCCTAGATTAACATGTGATGAACATCGCAGAATATAAGTAGTTTATAATAGATAAAAGTGTAGATATTACTTTAAATTTAGTTTTTAATAATATGTAATATAATGTTTCATTAAAAAAACTAAACTTTTCCATTTCTGTGATAAATTTAGTGATGGATGCTTCAGATACAATCTCATTATCCCGTTGCTTTAATGATCAATAAATTAATTCACAAATTAATTAATTAGTTTAATTATAGTTTTTTATACGTATTTTAGAGAATAAATTAATTATCAAGAGCGAGGATTGTAATTAAATAAACGATGAACTTAGGTATCTAGTATAATTTAGTATCAGGTATAATCTGTTTCAATAGAACCTAATGGAAGTAATCACGTTTTGTTAAATTGTTACAGAAATTACGTAATTATATTATCAATTTTAAATAGATTTTAACAATTCTTTTTACATTCAAAAAGTTTATTGAAACAGTCGTTTTTCTTTGTGAAGAAAAAAAGCGGATTGTTTCGAAGTATATGTATATACGCAATATTTACAATAAAGAGTATTTACGACCTTTCTGTTATCTTCTGTGCTCGCCTTTTTTTTAAAGTTCGCTAATGCCTATCAGTGATAGGAAATCTAAGACCTTCTTTGCAGCGATGTTTTTTACCTTCTCAGGCTATAAAATATATTTTTCAAATGAGATATATCGTTTATGTATGAGCGGGCTAAAGCTTCAAATTATGTGTTGCGGCGTTTATCCTTATAACCACAAAATCTGCAAACACTTTTTAGGAATAATCCTAGTTGGGGCATGTGTTTATTTAATTTGAAGTGTCAAATGAGAGCTCATGTACAGACACACATATACTTTTTACTCAAAACAATTAATTTCTCAGAGTAATTTATTGAAAAACTTTTAATAAAAGTTTTTGAGCGATTTAATTCTGACAATAAGATCCAGCTATTATTTGTTGTTTTTAAGCTTTCGAGTTTGAGCTAATCCTAAAGCAAGGCATGTCTCAATAATGTCCTGGTCCTATTTGGGCATCCTTTGTAGAAGTAAAGGCAGAGGTCTTTTTTTAATTGGTCAGCTGATTTATTTCCATGAATATTTGAGTGACCAGGAATCCATCTCAAGATAATGTTATTTCTGCTACTCAAATAATTTTATAACGTTATGTATAAGCAAGTATGATTATAAATCATACTAGTAGTCGCAACCTCATGTGTACAAATTATACTAACTTCCATGTTATTAATTAATTTACATTCAGGTATTCAGTAAACACAATAAATCATAATTAAGCACAATATTGTGTTGAGATCAGCTCATCGTGAACATATTTTCACGATATATCCTGTTCCATCTATGAGCAAGGTGGTCACGTTTCGAAGTTATTTAGTAAATAGGGTAAAACAATAGCAGTCCAAAGTAATTTGTACAATAAATTTATGTAGTGTTGTCTGTAGTACAAATAGAATTAATTGATCAACAGTAGCGGTTTACATTCTGAAGGTTACGGATCCGATCCCTACACAATACAAACATTTATATAAATACCAGCTTCTACTCGTAGTTTCGTTCGCATAGATAGTATATGTTCATTGGATGAAAAAAAAAACAAAAATGTAACGTATTTATCTTTCTCATATATGTGTATTGTGTATATTTCTAGTAAGTGTTAGCAATTAGCTAACTGGTTGAGGCACTATAAGGTAACAAACAGACAGACCCACTTCATTTTTATAATATTAGTAAGAATGTCTCTTTGTATTGTTCTACATGTGGATGTGTGTGTAATTTTTATATGTGAGTCTGTAGAAATTGTAACGATTATGTACTAAATTGACCCGACTAACACAATACTTAGTGAGGGTTTAGATCGATACACGAGAACTTATTTACACAAAGCTATATGTCGACCACTAACTCCTAAACATGAGATCAGTTTATCTAATATTTCATATTATACATATTAGCTAACAAAAAGATCGTTGTATATGTTCACTACGATAAATGAAAAAACATTTATCAATAAGAAATACAGAGGCAAATATAAAATAAATAGCATACGCTCGTAAATAAATTGTTATAGCGTGAACAAGACTGGATAGGTAAGTAGATATTTTTCGCTTATGTTCGTACTTATATTAAATAACGAACAAAACCGATATCTTTTTGTACTGCACAGGTTGGAGACAAATCTAATTATTAGTACAACGTTAAAATAGGTGGATGCTGTTAAATTAACGTCTGCCTTTATCAGTATCTAAATATAATAAACTCTTATTCCATATACCTACAGTTCAAAATGTGAAATTAGGATATTTAGATAATTTACTAAAAACTGTACTTGTATTAAGTTTGTTAATTTGTTTAATGAAGATCCATCAACAAGTTACTGCACAAACAGTGAAGTTATGAAGTTTTATAATGACGTTAGTTATGTACTTTGAAAACTACATGAAAAAATAACTAATTGAGTCTTCTAGAAGTAGGTGGTTACTACAGTAACGTCTTATTATATAAATAGGTCACAAACTTTTCAAGTAAGTAATAATAAAGTCAAACAAACAAGAAAACTTCTGTAATTTAAAATTTGGTTCGTGGCAAAACAAATTGTTTATTTTCTCTACACAAATACTTGACAAAAGTTATCAATAAAAAGGTGTAAAAACAACCATAGGAAAGAGGACGCAATTTTTTTCTATATATCGGGTCTGTAAAATAAAGATTAATGTTTCATTATAACAATGATAACTATTTTGTACTTACCTGTTTCAAAAGAGAAAGCTATAAACTCGTTTGTATATTATAATCGCTTTACTACTACTACTCAACTTTAAACAGAAGCCTTTTCTTTTTAAAGTTTAAGTTTTACAATAGATGCCTATCTTTATTTAGATGTAAGGACACTAATTTCTCAGAGATTTCTAGATTCATTTGCGCAATTCTTTATTTTAAATGAAAGAATTTCAAGATAGATTTATAATTTTGTTAAATGTGATGATTCTTTTTATCGAAAGGATTTTTTTGAGTAGTTACCTTAGTAGTAGTTATACTAATTTTGTTAAGACTTTACTTGTATTTTGATGAAACAAACGTTTAAGTAATTATATAATTGTAAACGACCTCAAAAGAAGTAGATTCCCAAATTGTATGTGTTTATATTTACTTGTGAATGTGTGAGTACTTCTTTTTGCTGCTGGTAGACTCACATGTTGGTTACATAAAATAATTTTCTCACGATAATTTATCTTAACTTGATTTTAAAAAAATATTATTATATTGTTTATGTATGACTACAGATAATTATAGTTGCATGGATACTTTGTCACAATGAAATGAGTTATTATTTCAAATTTGTAAAAATAGCAAATGATATTGTTTTTTTTTCACCTGATGCTTAAAATTATTATTAATATTATTTAAAAGACACATATAATTTATGTATAATGCACAGAGTTAATTATAAAGTAAAATCATTAATTTAGACTAGAAAACAACCAAAATACGTAACGTGCTTACTATGCCACATTGTGTATTCAGTTTTATTTAGCAGTTGACAGCAAAAGCATTAGTTGACACGGGACTTTCATTATCTTTTGTTCAACTTTAGCATTTGTGGTCCTACTCATTTGTTTTAATTTAAATTGTAAAGCTAGGCAGTATTCAGGTACTTCTATCTATATATAAGACCTATTATATATATTATACGCAGCAGAATACTTTTAAGTTGTTTCTGCTAGCAAATTATACAATTAACCTAATCAAAATCAACAATTTAAA